CGCGAAAAACCTCAGGGGGGGGCGGATATCCGCCCCCCCCGTCGGTGCGCGGGTTAAATTCCTGTAGTACACGCTTTCAAACTAAACGTTGAAGACCCGAGTAGGTAAGTGCAAACGTCGTACGTATCCTATAAATGGCTAAATCTTGAATGGAAGCCTGGTTTGGTGAGATTTCTATTGTTTTTACTTACGCATAACTTTTCAGATATTGTTTGCGCAGTTGTTCATATTTCGCAAAATATAGACTCCCTTTGAATAAATATACGGACAAAGGGAACAATAATACCTAATGGCCATAGTTCTGTAACAAAAAAAAAAAAACTTGTACAGTTGACTACAGAACGGTTCCACTTTTCACTGGCAATCAAGTGCCTGAAGTGGTAGGCTGTGCCGCACCACACGGGTTGAGTGATAGTTAACCCGCGCTCTGGTGGGGGGCTATTTTTTGCCCCCCCCCCCTCCAGACTTTTCGATATATCTCCAGAACCGCTGCGCCGATCGTCACCAAACTTTCAGTGCCCTCCCGGGCATCAATTTTACACATAGTGACCAAATTTTTTTTACAAAGGCTATGATAGATTGGCGGCAAATGACGTCAGAATGACGTCATGTTCTGCCGTTTTCGACCCATAAAAAGGTTTCGCGGGAAGAGCTGTCAGGCCTATGGCTTTGAAGATACAGAAAAACATTTAAGACATAAAAGGTGTAGAATTACCACGGCTACAAAACTTTTATCTCGCAATTTTAACTTTTTTGAATTTGGATCCCCGAAATTAAAAAAGAAAATATTTGTTTAAGTATTATTGCCTAAAAATCACCAAAGTTTTAAGATTTTCGATAAAAACGGAATAGGTAAGTATAGGGGAGTCTCGGGAGGTATGGGCCCCCAGGAGGTATGGGCCATTCTTGCGTATTTTTACACATTTGACCGCGTAAATTGGTAGCAGCCATTTCGTTATACAACCCACGTGATTTTCAAAATCTTCCTCAGTCTTTTTTGGCAATAAGCGGTGATAAAGCGTTTTTGCCCGAGTAAGATACGGTACATACAGAAAATTCGTGATAAATTTGAACCAGGCTTGTTTTATGATGCCAGACCATCACTAACACAAAGTTAAAAGTATGCAAATTAAGACTGGATAGACAAATTGAAGCTTTCTTGCAAGATTATGAGCTGAGATGCTATGCACATTCTGGCGTCCTAACCGGGAGGCTCGGGCCACCCACCCCCGTTGATCCTTAATCAATAAAATGATGCTTTCATTGAATGTCCTCTTCAATAAGTTTAATTTTTTTGGCGCGCAAGGTCGAAAGTTTAACTACAAATTTTATTCGAACAGAAAAATATGATATATCTTATTTCGTGGAGCATGATTGAGTTTACCAAAATACATATGCGCCCAAATGACCACCAGAAGTAAGCTGTTGGCCGCCTTTGCGGTTCTAGGCTCTAAAAGAGATCAAGGTTGATACCAGCTACGAGTATTATTCTCATTGTCGAGAAAATAATCTGAAACATGGCACCGGCCCATACCTCCCGGGCCATGGCACTTACCTCCCGGTGTATTTTGATGGATCGAAAAAGCGCATGATTTATTTAAGCTATCTCGAGATGAAATAGTTGATCCCAGATGACTTATATCAGTCACACCTTGCTGGCGAAAGGCAATTTCACGTAGGTACACAGAGTGAAAAACCGGGTCTAGCGACTGCCCACTGGAAGAAAATTGCCTTTTCTCAAGACCGACCCATAGGTACCTCCCGGGTCTCCCCTATAGATAGCCCTTACCGACTTCTATTCACATTCCAAATTTCAGATCGATACCTCTTTTTTGGCCAAGCTATAGCGAAAAAAGCTGTTCAAAATTGATAACGTCAAATTTTCAAACTCAATTTTTAGGAATTCTAGACCACGTAGCGCAAAACAAAGACCACCATTAGACTCACAATGACGAGTTGCATTGAAACGATATCCATTTTATGCAAAAATATCAACTTTGAAATTTGACCTTTTTGGACCTGACATTGACCTGAACTCCACCAGGAAGTGACCTGAACCGTTCCTTATGGTCTTATAACCAGCACCATTGAGTTTGAAATGAAAAATTGGCCATAAAACATGCATCACACAGCCCTAGTAGAATTGGGTTCACGTGCTGACCCTTGGTGACCTGACCTGTGACCTGACCTGGTATTACCAGTGACCTCTAATAGCAACATATGTACTAAGCAACTGACGCCCTATCGCTGATTTTCGATAAAATGTGTTTTACTCGATGTTATAGCGCATTCCCTAGAAGACCCGTGACCAGCAAAACATTTTATCTTTGACCTGACCTCTGACGTCGTCGGTGATCCTGAGGTCAATGAAATTAGATTTCTTTTGACAAATTTGATAGGGCTTCCGAACGCCGTTTGAGTCTTGTGGATCCATCCAATAGTTTCGGAGATACGAGGGGGGTGGCAAAAAATAGCCCCCCCCCCCACACACACACACCAGGTAGCGTTATAACCAGACCCCACCAGGGTGCGGGTTAAATTCTGTGACCCAATGCTCACCAAAGACACCCTTCATTGCGTGATAACCGGAACAGCCTATAGCATTTCGGTCAACTGATAGCTTGTGAGGAGGGGATCATCATTTTGCAGTCAACTATACAAAAAGGAAAGCATTTAATGTGGATGCACCCATCGGCACGCGCTGTTTTATGCTTATAAATTTGACTGTCAGTGAGAAGTAGTAGGTACGGCAAATACGAGCATCCGTCTTGGTTTTGTGACCGTTCCGCTTCCGTCGGAACTGCCCTTTCTGACTGAATAGTCACAGAATTGGCACTTCACACTTGACAGTCACATCCGGGTTGGACGTTATCGGTCATCGATAAGCACCTGTCCTATCGACGCTCACGCTTTCCCGAAACTACGATGCATCATGATGCAGTACTCCCGGAAGATGTCAATCATGACTATGACACGTCGAGTAAATACCGCCTGACTGCATCTCAGGATTGTGGCGCACCTGGGGCTAGACCGAACTGAATTCAACCAGCACATACCATATCCCGCGCGGGGCTGGGGTCTCCAGCCGAACGCGCGGGGCTGGGGGGGGGGTAAATTTTACCCCCCCCCCTGTTATCTCCCGAACTAATGGTCCGATTTGGAAAATTCAAACGCCAATCGAAAGCTCTCATCACGAACTACTAAAAACATGTACTTAATTTAAAGTTTGAGGTCAAGGTCAAGGTCAGGTCAAGGGTACAAATTGCAAGTTTCTACAGTATCGGCCTTGCACCGTAGTTGCCGAAGAATGGAGTCATGGACTGAGACTGATCGCCCAAAACCTGTTCTTAGGCTACCAAGACAATATTCGTTGCATACAATATCATTCAGAGGTCAAGGTCAAGGTCAGGTCAGGTCAGGTCAGGTCACCAAAAAACAAAATATAGAAAAGGGCATGTGCGACACATGTTTTATGGGTCATTTTACTCATAGAATTCAATAGGCACACTCAATAAGTGATATGGACCACCTCTGGATGAATTTCAGGTCGAGGTCAGGTCAAGGTCAGGTCAAGTGAGGTCAAATTTTGAAGTTGGTTGTTAAGGCCTAAAAAGGTGTCTATCTGATGCAGTTTTTCACGGCGAATCGAATGGTGCTATTTTTGTTTCCGTACGAGGTCTAGAACTTCCAAAAAAGTCATTTTTCAAAAATTTTGTGTGTCGTGACGTCATAAAATTTTGAATAACTCCCACATTTTTGAACCGATTCTTCTAAAATTTGGTATGTAGGTGCACATAGACCACTTCTCTGACATATATTCCGTTTTTTTCGATAAACTAAAAATTTTGGATTTTATAATGATTTTCCCAAAAAAGTCAGTTTTTTGGAAAAAATTTAGGCCAAAATCCAAAATTTTCAAAAAACCGAGATAGCCATTTGATAGACAAAGTAAAATTACGTATAACCTTTTTGTTACGTCTTGATTCCTTTAAAAATGAAGATGTTAGCGGCGTTTGAACTTTTGCCGTTTTTGAGGCGAAAATGGCGAACATGACGTCACTAAAACGTCAATTTCTCAAAAAATTTCCGACGGATTTCGCTCAAATTTTCAGGGAACGTGTCAAATTGATGTAAGAAAAGGTACTGAAAGTTTGGTGGCGCTGCGCGCCGCCGTTTTTGAGATATCGCAAAAATTCGCGAGGGGGGGTAAAATTTACCCCCCCCCCCAGCCCCGCGCGGGATATACCATATACCATAGGTAAATTGTTGTGATACGGTTGGAGCCGATGGTAATGCATCGGTTTGACTCACAACCATGTTGAAGTCTGCTGCGACCCGTAACAGCAGATCAGGCCGCTAGTAACAGTAAATGGAGTGGGCTTTTCCATATTTGCTTATTATTCCATTAAACTGCATGAGATACCAATTTTTACGTGACAAAGGCGCTATATCACACTCCCGGTCCCGGAAGCGTTCGCAGTGAGCCCCGCTCCCGGCCCCGCTCGGCGTTGCGGTATATACCGATTGTTGTAGTTGAGTGCGCTGGCGTGTGCTCCGACACCCCCACCGCCGCACAAAAGGTTTTGCCGCCGTGCCGCGGCATGGTGCGCGTGCCTTTGTCATGCCGATCGCGGCGCCCCGATGACGCGGCGGCGGTGCCGGCACGCGCCGTCGTCACCTCATATCGCCGTGCTGGCAGTGCTGGTGCGTCACCGACCGGTAACATATACGCTGCGAGCTATTCGAGCGGGCCTGTCGGCTCGACAGAGTCACTGCAAAGGTCAAATTCGCCGTGACAGCTAGCTGGTGGGGTGAGAATGTCAGGACAGACCTAAAATGAACGACCTCTGGGTTAAACCAAAGCTGCATTTATCCTGCCCATAAACGGAGAAGGAGGTGTCACAGCACATACTAATATGGTGGGGTCATAGGATTACTTTAGGGATGAACTAAGCTTTTTGTGCTGTGTTTTGAAGTGGCGTCTGGATTTCCTTTTCCAGCAGATAACATGTACGGCACGGGTGGTTCGAGCTGGAGCACCTCCACGGGCGGCAGCTCCAGCTCCAGCAGCTCCAGCTCCAGCTCCAGCGGCGGCGGCGGCAGCATCAGCAACTCGGCCATCAGCCAGTCGCAGGCCGGCGGACGGGTGGAGATGCAGTGTGGCGGCGTCGGCGACCGGGTCTGGTTCAGGGAAGGTGAGACTCAGTGGGGTATCGGGTGCCGGGCCTGGTACAGAGACTCAGTGGGGTGTTGGAGACCATTGGGGACCGGGTCTGGTTCAGGGAAGGTGAGACTCAGTCAGGGCCTAGTACAGAAACTAAATGCGGTATCCATGGGGACAGGGTCCGGTACAGATTCAAATGAGATCCCGGCGAAAGGAAGGTGAGAACAGCTGGGGAACTACGGGGTCTGGTAAAGGCAAGGGCTGACCAAAAGTGGCTCATTCTTTGCGGGGAATGCGAGTTGGGATGGTTATAACTGTAAAAAAAGATATGAACGAGGGTGGCTGATGACCGCTATGTAGGTACTTATTTCGGATCAATTTGTTATTTATATCTCTACTGCCTTTGCTCCTGCCGCCCACAGCAGTGGCCGGGTCTCACAGGCCTCTCGCCCCTGTTTCAGACGGCGGCGGCCGCCGGGAGCTGGCTCGGAATGGGCAGCTCGGCTCGGCACCCGCCCGGTACCGTCTGCAGTCCTCTGCCGGCTACGACACTCTCACGGTCAGTTACGCTTCTACTTGTGGAGTCACGTCATTTCGGTGTGTTACGTTCTTACGGCGACTTACGCTCATGGTAGTGACCTGACGTTCTTAGGCTCAGGTGGCGGTCTCATGGTAGCCTTCTTGCATGGTGATGGTGTCTTTTTGGTGAGTGGTGGTCATTGGTGAGTGGCGTCTTTTTTGTCAGTACCTAATGTTATGCAGCTCGAGTGACGTCTTTTTAGTGTTGTCCTTTCGGTAGGAGACGTCTTTTGGTGATTGGCGTTCTTAGGGTAAATTACGTTTTTGGTGAACTGAATAATATAATTTATTTTTAATTTTACGTAGAGCGACGCTGTTACAGATGCTTACGTTTTTGATGAACTGAATAATATAATTTCTTTTGCATAGAGCGACGCTCTTACAGATACGACACGCATCTACTTCCACCGATTGACGTCCGTTCTTCAACGGAAAGTGTTTTTATCTATAATATTACGCCAGTGGCGCAGCCAGGGGGGGGGGGGTCAGAGGGTCAGCTGACCCCCCGAAATTTCTGTCAGGGGCCCGCTCGAGAGAGATAGAGAGAGAGAAAGAGAGAGAGAGAGAGAGAGAGAGAGAGAGAGAGAGAGAGAGAGAGAGAGAGAGAGAGAGAGAGAGAAAGAGAGGGAGGAGAGAGGTCCTAATCTAACCGGACGAGAGAACTGGCCTGGGCCCCCTGGGAGAACGGGCCCGGGCCCCCCGTGGATGAGGCCGGGCTCCCAGGAGAACGGGCCCCGGACCCCCGATTGGATGGGGCCCGGGCCCCCGGGAGAACTGGCCCGGGCCCCCGGGAGAACGGGCCCGGGCCCCTGGGAGAACGGGCCCTGGCCCCCGTGGATGGGTCCGGGCCCCGGGAGAACGGGCCCCGGGTGGACGGGGCCCGGACCCCGGTTGGATGGGGCCCGGGCCCCCGGGAGAACTGGCTCGGGCCCCTGGGTGGATGGGGCCCGGGCCCCCCGTGGATGGGGCCGGGCCCCCAGAAGAACGGGCCCCGGTCCCTGGGTGGACGGGGCCCGGACCCCCGATTGGATGGGGCCCGGGCCCCCGGGAGAACTGGCCCGGGCCCCTGGGAGAACGGGCCCTGGCCCCCCGTGGATGGGTTCGGGCCCCGGGAGAACGGGCCCCGGGTGGACGGGGCCCGGACCCCCGGTTGGATGGGGCCCGGGCCCCGGGAGAACTGGCTCGGGCCCCTGGGAGAACGGGCCCGAACCCCCTGGGTGATTGGGTCCGGGCCCCCAGGAGAACGGGCCCGGGCCTCCCGGAGAACGGGCCCGGGCCCCCGGATTGATGGGACCCGGGCCCCCTGGTGGACGGGGCCCGGAACCCCGGTTGAACGGGGCCCGGAGCCCCAGGTGGACGTGGCCCGGGCCCCCGTGTGGATAGGGCCCGCGCCCCCGTGTGGATAGGGCCCGGCCCCCTTGTGGATAGGGCCCGGCCCCCGTGTGGATAGGGCCCGGACCCCACTTATGCTGGAAAATTGACGTTTCGGACAGATTTGGGACTTAATGCTTTATCTACCTGCGGCACGTTAAACTTTCGATCCAAATTATCACCGGTGAACCCGGGCGCGGGCAAGGTGGGGTGGTGGGTCCGTGGTGTCATTCGCAACAAGCTCTGCTTAGCGGGGCACCCGGGCCCATAGCCACCCATTCATCCATTCGGACACAATTTCTAAAAAAAAGTGCCCTCACGGGTGCACGTGGCGCGTGCCATCCCTGCACCGCACACCATTCGATAGCCCGTTCGATTCTCTACACGATACTGTGTTCCCCGTGCCGATCGGGCCGACGGTTACCGAGATACTGCACGGGGACCGGGCCAGTGTCGGGCAAATTTAGCCATTTTCGCACGATTTTGCAAGCCGATTTAAACGTATTGTAAAGTCTATGACGCGAATTTGCACTTCTTAAGCCACGCCATGTGCTCGCTATCGATCCGATCGAGCTGAGAGTGAGACCCTCAGAGGCACGTTGCCCAATGCCCATCCTTGATATATAAATCGCGCAAAGTTCAGCGCACTAGGCGCAACGGTCTGGCCTGTACCCCGCGCTAAGTAACACCATGCCGGGACCTCGATAGCAGACAGAATCTACGTCACCACATCACCACACCACAACAAACCCGGCCCAAGGCAATACATGTCCCATATGAGCGCGTTAGCCCTCGCCGGCACAGGCCATTCCAGTCATTTTGCGTCCTTCAACGGCACAAGGGGGAAGGTGGTACGACCCCCTCCCCGCGTTTGGCCCATGATCGAGCTAGAGCTTTGCGGAAAAAAACGAACGTGTTACCCGTGACGAGAGTAAGCCGATGATACTCAATTTTAAGGTTCTTGGTCATTGGTTGACCTTCCAGGTCAGGTCAATGACCCAAAAATCGGGAAAATCGGGACCTGTTAGAACGTCGTTAAGTGTGGCTGCTATATGGTTTTTCGGTGTGCTGATCACGAATAGTTATCATGTTAGTTTTGACCACAGATGATGTCTTTATGCATTTAGGTCAGGTCGGGTCAGGTCAGGTCAACCAGTAGGGGTCCTGCCGGGCATTTGTAGTACCTACGTGTCAACTGTCAGCCGCCTCTAGCAGCTTCGTAACATGTTACGAAGGCACCAAAACTACTTCGTGAATGTTCAAATGGTTGCTAAATTCGGATTCAGCTCCAAAAACTAGCCTAGAAACATGTATAATTCGAAAGAGTACCGAGGTCATCATAGGTCAATGACCTGACCTGACCTTCAGGTGACCTTGACACCCAACCTATTGCATGGGAGCAGCATCAACTCACATGTTTGAACGCTTGAAACCACGAAAAGACTGCAAACGCGCGGCTAATGCGAGCCGGCATACACCGAATCGCGATTCTGCCCAAACACGGTCTCGGAAAGTAGGTCACAGGTCAAAGGTCATTTGAGTCAGGATCATGCAATTGCTAGGGTAGGTGGAAAACTGATCAACGCGAGGGTACTGAAAGTGTTGTCGCGATCGGCCGCTTTTTACGCGTTTATTCGCGAAAACCCTTAGGGGGTTGCATCATCCCCTCCCCCTTGCTGGCGAGGGTTAAAACTTCTTGTGAGCGAATTCACGTAATGAAGAAGGTTAAAGGCACAATCTTCTACAGCAGCCAATAGATGACTTAGGACAGGCACATGGAACTACTTAAATCTTGTCCGATAGAAGCAGGCAACAGCTCCGTTTGCATATATGCTATGCATATTGGGGAAGGGGCACATTTCGGCCTCGAAAGATACGTATTCATACCTCATTAGTAACATATTTCTGCCATGGTCAATTCGCGTAGAAATTGAACACCGGGTGACTACCGAGCTATCGTTCTATCAAAATTTTCCGATTCAAACTCGCTCAGGGTTATCGTGTGTAGTTAAAGGGGGGCCCGCTTAGCAGAATGCGTATGAAATATGGAAAGATTCTGAAAAATGGGTGGGGGCCCGCACACTAGGGGGCCCGCTTTGGAGGTGATGACCCCCCCCCCCCCCCGAAACGAAATCCTGGCTGCGCCACTGTTAATTACGCTCTTTTGACGGAAGACTTACCTTATGATAACTGATGTTCTTTTGGTGAGTGGTTATTTTCGTGAGTGACGTTTTTCCAGTGAGTGCCGTCAATCTTTTAATCTGGGTGAATTTCTTACAACGAGTGCCGTTTTTTTGCCACCGACACCAGCAGCCTGAAGATCTTCCGTGTGACTTGTCAATGTTAGAAATGCCACAATTGAGGAACGAATGTAGCGCTGCTCAATACAATCAACATTTGACGTCGCGGGTGACTGTCCTCAGATCAACCCCACGGAAACATCCGACACCGGGAAGTTCATTTGTGAGACGAGAAGCAGCAATGGACTGACATCTACACACACTTATACGGTACGTATTACGCAGCAACTGATCAGTCAAAAGAGAAACGGGCAAAAGAGCTGCCGCAGAGCGACGGCAGATTTATGCACATGCAGGGGAAGCGGGGGTAACACCGCCCCCCTAAGCTTTTCGCCAAAATGAGAGAATATGTGTGAAGTCTCTTGGTAGTTATTGTCTTAGTTACAATATTTAAACATTTTCTCACGTGTTTTAGGTACTTATTTTGCATGCTCCTAAAAGGTTTTCATGTATCACGACTTTTAAAAATACCTTGCATATTTGCCGCCTACAAATTGTGTGGGTAACCCCGCCACCGGTGTTGATGTTAAACCAACCCATTCCTAAGAAAGCTTTTAATTGTTCAGAGATCGGGTGCGATGAGTTTCCTGTCGGTAAGTGGTAATTTTCGCAAATAATCGGTAATGGACACCTAAATAGGTATAGGTTCATCAGCTTTTTGCCAGTTTCATACAGCTGGCAAGTGCTTGGTCGGGATGCATGAAAAATATAAAGTAAAAAATCAAAGAAGCTGCTTATTCCCGACTTAGGAACATCAACGAACATAAAAAGCGTCTCTTTGGGAGTTTCATCACTTATCACGCTACGAACAGGAAACACCGCAACCTCAATCGGGGTAACACCGCCACGGGGTGGCGGTGTTCCCCAATAAGTGATCACAAGCAAAAATCACCAGCGGCAAGAATGTACTACACGGTTCAAGCAAACTTATCTTACTGGACAAAGCCGATCAATTATTTTTCGATGTAATCAAGTAAATCAAAATGAGTCTCTTCTTAAAGACATTCAAAAGTGCTCCCAACTCATCGAATTTTTATAAGAGAATGTACATTTTTCTTTAAATGCCCACATAAAGCTTCGATTACACTGAATCACCGGAACACAAATCAGAAGACGCTTACCTTCGTGCGGTTAAAGGGACACTCCCACCTTAACATTAGTTTTGAGTTGAGATAGCCAAATTGGTGGCCATGGCCTGCAAATACCGGTTTGGGCACTCACAACATCGACAAATGCTTTAATTCGGAGATATGGAATTTCAAACTTGCAGTTTTCGGATTCTAAGGGGCTAGTGCATTGGTATGCCCCCTTAGAATTTGTGACGTCAGCGGAGATTTAACGATTTTTAAATCTTTTACTAAAACGTTTGGTAGCACGCGGTGGTATATGCTGCTTTGCGCGCAACAAATGCCGCACTTTCAAATAAAGTCGCTAGGAACAGCGGAGATCCCAAAAAGTAAACAAAAGTAAAAGTCTAATATCTTGAAAACCGGTGAATATTTTTCGATGAAATTTGGTAGATATTCGTTTTCGCTCTTTTTGAACCGAGCGACATCACTTTCGTGCCAATTCATTAACTTTTTTGAAGGTGGGAGGGTCCCTTTAATAGGAAATAACGGATTTTAACACTTCACATTGCATACATAGGGGAGAGCGGGGTGAGTTGTATCATGTCCAAGTTGTATCAGGGCGAATTGTGCCAAACTTATCCAATGGATGGCGCTCGCGACACGACCAGCCGACGAGGTTTTCCGGGCGCCATCTTTCCCTGTTCTGTCTTGTGGCTGAGTGGACGCGTCTCGAGGTGAGAGCCGATTTTATGTTTTTTTAATGTCATTCTAAAAAAATAAGTTGCAAGAAAATGTGTGTTCTGGGCATTTAGATGTGCACGAATTTGAAAGATCTCCGTAGCGGTGGTGAGGGTAGGTTCTAAGGCTGCGTGAGTGAAAACGGATTTCTCCAGCTGTCCGCTGTTTTTTTAGCACGAGGATGTTTTTTTCCAAGATGGCGGCTAGGTACATGTTGTATCAGAGCCGGGTGGGGTATGTTGTAACATGTATGTATGTATGTATGTATGGGTATGTTGCTTTTGATCGCGAAAGCTAAGCCCTGGCTCGCGTTTTTAGGTAGCTAGTCAATGCTCGTTCCATTTCGGCACAATGTGTTGGCTTCTTTGCTCTTAACGGGCCACCTTTGCGTCTAGTCTGTTGATGTTTCGTTCGGATTGCGTTGACCTAAGTTTGGTCTAATAAAGTGAAGCCTTTGAGCATACCTATACATTGTATTAACCCCATTTAATGTTGTTGTTATGTTCAAGACCAGTAGGAAGCACACTCCCTGAAACGTGAAATAGTGATACAAATTACCCCACCATGTGATACAACTCACCCAAGCCATGGAGCAAGTTGTATCAAAAACATTGTTCTATTCGGGAGACCGTAGAAGAAAAACTGGTAGAGGTAGCGGAAAAGTTACTTTGCACAAAAAAGCAGAAGAATCAAGGAAGGGGATAGTATGGAAATAATGAGTTTATCACGGATAGTTACGAGGTTATGGGTCTCGGAGTAAAAACTGATACAACCCACCCCACTCTCCCCTACTTTCGCCGCCAGATGGGGTGGCGGTGTTTCCCACAGTGGCGGTGTTCCCCCCGCTTCCCCCACAGTACGGTACCTATATAACGATACGCCGACTCTCATTTTATCGGAAATCCACGTAGCAAACAAATATCAGTTTTACCTATACGAAAGCATGGTTATTTATGCCTAGATCTTATGGTAAGGAAGTTTTTTAAGAATCTATAATAGTATTTGAATATTTTTGGTACGGCGTAAAAGCAGCACCTGTAGAAGTTGATTGCCGCTGAGTTGACGGTTGTCTGCTGTACCGCTGCAGGTGACCATTGGCAGCGGAGGTGGCGGAGGCGGCGGTAATGGCGCCGCGGGGCCGCGGACGACCACCGGCGCCGCCGCCGGCCTCATGGGGGCCATGATGCTGCTGCTGTAGCTCCGGCGCCCCAGCTGCTGTTGTAGCTCCGGCGCCCCAGCTGCTGCAGGACGCCCCCGACGGACGCCCTGCTAACGGGCTGTGTGCCAGCGATCTGGCGTCACTGTCTGCCCGGATGGATCGGCGCCTGTTTTGGTTGGCATTAGGAGTGCCTTGGCGTGGCTGTTTGTTGGCGTGTCTCTTTCACGGATTCCCAGTCCTGTATCTTGTTTGGAGTGTCGCTGCTGCCTTGTCCGGAGGCCGTTGCTGTTGGGACGACTAGTCGGATGTTTGATAGCGCATAAAAATAGATGGTTTATTGAGCGGATGTGCCGTCTAGCTCTAGGCTGTTCCGGTGTATGCGACTAAGGGAAAGGATAAACTATTGGATGTTTTTGAGAGAAGGGATGCTTTAACTGAGATCATCTGGGTATAGATCGTTATTGGTTCTTGGCATTCGCACCCCATTCTTGAGCCATTGGTGTACATACAGGGTATCTGCTATGGAGGTGTGTGAGGCATTCCACAGCCATTTAACGGCGAATGGTGAACATTCTTTGCGAGGAGACGCGTTGTTGCATTATCACTAAGGTTTGCCTTGTACCTAATACTAATATTACGGCCTGCATATAACGACGCCATGAATAATGCGAAAAGGCATGAGACAATGCGTTATCGATGTTAGGCAGGGTTCGGCATCTATCTCCTTAGCGATTTAAAAACGTTGTAATGGTTGTGACTTTTTGAATACATGTATTTTCGATGCATTTGAGGTGTATTTGTTTGCTTGGCTCCTAGCTTATCCTAGAACGTCAACACAGCATATTAGATGCGAACGAATGTTAGGCACTTTACCTTTGATAGCCAACGCGAAATTGCTAGCATTCAGTCACTAAGTTGTATTTGACCAGGTACAGCATCAGTAGAAACAGTGGACAATGAGAGCGCATTGGACATTGCAGATGCAGCAAATGCATACATTGATCTCGAAGACTGACTACATAGTCTTTCCTAAATGCTAGTAACTAATCTATACTACGGAAATATTGTTCGACGGCTACACTATCCTCGTATCACAAATATGCCTGAATAAAATATACCATTAAATGCAGGTACTACATAAACTCGCGCATCAGCCTACGCTTGACGTCTCACATTTGGCCACCAACAATATATGATATTCATAAATAATCTGCTTTGGTTAACACAACTGCGCTCACAAACGCGCTAGGTCTCTGCACTGGCACGTCTGGCTGACAGCAGGCCGCCGCGCTGGTGGCGGGCGGGGACGGAAAACACCTGGGTGGTATCGGGCTCCCTCAGTCGGGGGGCGCCGGGACGTTCCCAGCCTCACACTCTGGTGACAGGACTTCCCGAGCTATCTCGAGCCGGGATATCCCGCTGTCTGGCGACTGAAAGTCCCTTCCGTCTCGGGTCCGTCACATTACAATCAGAGCCCAGAGTTCCATCTCCTTAAGTAAGGAGATGGAACTCGGGGCTATACAGTATTATAGTACTATAATCGGGGCATGTTTTCTGGATTCAGGCATATGACGCGCGCGACAGTCATCACGCGTAACTTGGCGAGCATTGCCTTCGATGGGGGAGACAGTCAGATTGCCCGAGCACTGGCACGGCTACGCCGCAAACCACTGGGAGCAGACGCCAGCTGCCGGCCAGTGGCGGACTGGTGACTGGTGACCGACTGGTGACCGGCTAGGTCACAGGTAGGTGGTGCGGGAGGCCTGCACCAGGTCCTCAGATGAGGTGGTGACCGCCGCCTCTGGACAGATCTGAACCATCTCCCCCTCTGACCATCATCCGGTGGTGCTGCTCCGGACCGACCGCATCACCTGCACCGCGCGGAGGGACGCGGGTCAGGCAGTGACACACGGGAGGGACGCGGGTCAGATAGTGGGGCGGGAGGGACGCGGGTCAGATAGTGACACGGGAGGGACGCGGGTCAGATAGTGACACGGGAGGGACGCGGGTCAGATAGTGACACGGGAGGGACGCAGGTCAGATAGTGACACACGGGAGGGACGCAGGTCAGGCAGTGGTATACATGACTGAGAAACGTGTCAGGCAGGGATACAGGAACAACATGAGTAGCAAATGAAACGTATCATTTCGGACATGTTCTTATCGCACCGATATGGATATATTCTATTTTATCGATTAATTTGGTAAACTTCGTAAGTTCAAAACCAAATGACCTCAAGTCAAGAAGATGTCAACCATTTTCGATATACTTCATTTTGTTAGTAGATTCACAAAATAGCTTCAGTCGTTTGTGTTTACCTACCAGTCTTCTTGACATTTAAATGAAATCGATCGTTATAATGCCGACCCTGGCCAGGACAGGGAAGCCAACCACTGCCAACCAGCACAGCGACGGTGAAACGAAACAGAGCAGGATATAAGCCCGCGCCCCGCTGGGGGGGGGGGGGCAGAATCTGCCCCCCCTCCCGTTTTTCGCCAATAACTTCTAAACGCGTTACGCCAGCGACGTCAAACTTTCAGTACCTTATCATACATCAATTTGACACGTTCCCTGAAAATTTGAGCAAAATCCGTCGGAATTTTTTGAGAAATTGACGTTTTAGTGACGTCATGTTCGCCATTTTCGCCTCAAAAACGGCAAAATTTCAAACGCCGCTAACATCTTCATTTTTAAAGGAATCAAGACGTAACAAAAAAGGTTATACGTGACTCTACTTTGTCTATCAAATGGCTATCTCGGTTTTTTGAAAATTTTGGATTTTGGCCAAAAATTTTCCAAAAAACCGACTTTTTTGGGAAAATATTTATAAAATCCAAAATTTTGAGTTTATCGAAAAAACCGGAATATATGTCAAAGAAGTGGTCTATGTGCACCTACATACAAATTTTTAGAAGAATCGGTTCAAAAATGTGGGAGTTATTCAAAATTTTATGACGTCACGACACACAAAAATTTTGAAAAATGATTTTTTTGGAAGTTCTAGACCTCGTACGGAAACAAAAATAGCACCATTCGATTCGCCGTGAAAAACTGCATCGAATAGACACCTTTTTAGGCCTTAACAACCAACTTCAAAATTTGACCTCACTTGACCTGACCTTGACCTGACCTCGACCTAAAATTCATCCAGAGGTGGTCCATATCACTTATTGAGTGTGCCTATTGAATTCCATGAGTAAAATGACCCATAAAACATGTGTCGCACATGCCCTTTTCTATATTTTGTTTTTGGTGACCTGACCTGACCTGACCTGACCTTGACCTTGACCTTTGAATGACATTGTGTGCAATGAATATTGTCTTGGTAGTCTAAGAACACGTTTTGGGCAATCAGTCTCAGTCCATTCTTCGGCAACTACGGTGCAAGGCCGATACTGTAGAAACTTGTATTTGTACCCTTGACCTGACCTTGACCTGACCTCTGACCTACTTAAGCAAAAAATTTGGGCTCTTAAGATCCGCCTTGTTGAGAGCTTTCGATTGCCGTTTTCCCCGTCTTTCTACGACCATCGGTTCGGAAGTTAGACAGGGGGGGCAGAATCTGCCCCCCCCAGCAGGGCGCGTATGGCTGAATAGCCCAGCGGGGCGCGGGTTAACCCTCGCCCGTAAACGGCGATCTGCCACCTTCGCCCATGCAGGGGGGGGGGGTTGGTGCGACCCCCCCCCTTGGCGTTTGAAAACGGAGCGTCGTAGAGCTTAGCGGAAAAGACCAACGGATTGCTCTCGCCGAGATCTCGCGATTGGTGGTATATTTTTTGGTCCTAGGTCAACATTTGACCTACTTTTGACCGGTCAAAGGTCAAATTTTCGGAAAAATAGACTTTTTCAAATTTTCCGCGGCGATTGCGGCAAAACGGTGGGAGATATCCTACTTGAAACCTTCACTATCGTGTTCCTTGATCAATTCTCTATCGTTTGGTATGTATTTCGTTTCCCTAGCTCTAAAAATGGCGCGTTGGGAGCGCCGGAAGTCGGCAAGGTCACAGTCGGCGGCAGAAATTCGAAAAATCAAAATTTAAATTTTTGAAATCTGATTGTATTTTTGGATTTGGGATGTCCATTTGCTCCCTATAGAAGCTAATATTGCTGCATATTCCCATTGAGGTGACAAGAATTAGCAAAATAGTGGTTCGGGCGCTTTTCAAAAATAGTACCGGACGCTGTTCCTCTTGTGACGTCATAGCTCCGTGACCTGACCTGACCCGGTCAAGTTTCTTATACCATATGATAGCCAATACTTGCCCCAACATGCATGGGAAGTTTCATCACGATCCATCAACCGATGTCCGTACCACCGGCAGGAAACCTCGGGCGTTGGCACTCAGTTTGTGAAAATCCGGCCTGAGGCTGTTCCCTTTGTGACGTCATAACTCCGTGACCTGACATGACCCGGTCAAATTTTTTTTATTAAAAGATGCGCAAGGTTTGCCCCATAAGGTACCCAAAATTTGGCGGCGCTGCGCGCCGCCGTTTTTGCGCTATTTCCGAAAAACCTCAGGGGGGGGGGGGTTGCACCAACCCCCCCCCCCCCCTACATGGGCGAGGGTTAATCTATGCCCTTCATGACCTCACCAGTGACCGAAATGTTTACCCCACACGTCCAGCCCTTCACTCAACTGCACTGCCAAACTCCCGTTATCACCCACTGACGTCATTACCTTGCTGATGACGTCGTCGCTGTCGTAGCCGTCCTTCCGGCCACGGGCGATGCAGACGGCGACAGCGGCCGCCAGGGCGACCGCCAGCAGCAGGCAGAGCGCCAGCAGAGTCCACGTGGCCACCTGGAAGGCGTACGACCTCCCCGCCTCCTCCTCCACCAGGGGCAGGGAGTCCAGCCAGAAGGCCGCCTCCTGAGAACGGGCAGGGGTGTCAGAGAGTCCACCCCCCCCCCCCTCCTGAGAACGGGCAGAGGTGTCAGAGAGTCCACCCCGCCTCCTCCTCCACCAGGAGCAGGGAGTCCAGCCAGAAGGCCGCCTCCTGAGGACGGACAGAGGTGTCAGAGAGTCCACCCCGCCTCCTGAGACCGGACAGAGGTGTCAGAGAGTCCAGCCAGAACGCGGACTCCTGAGACCGGGCAGAGGTATTATTTATCATGTCAAATAGCCGATGAGAAATAAACGTACCACAGGCACCAGATATTATATACGCTAAGTGTAAAAGGTGTTAGTCAAGTCGTACGGCGCGGCCAACGATTATCTCTTTTCAAACAGCATTTTTTGGTGTAATGTCGTGATCAACACGATATGGTGAGGTCTGCTCGAGTTCGGTCATTGTATGAGGATGCGGCCAACTTTGAAAGTTGCTGTTGGGGGATGCCTTACTTCTTAGATACGCTCATAAGTAAATGACGAGTCGACTCACCCTTGCCCTGTAACCAGGCAGCATGGGCAGTGGCGATACCGACAAGTTGTAGTATGCCACCTGCTCACTAGATGACACTGTCCAGGCTGGTCGGCCTGACGGGTCCACGCCAGCCACTGTCGGCGCCCTGGGACATGGGATAACGTCAGAGAGCTCCGTGCATCATCAGAGGCAGATGTGCTATTAGACAAGATCATCAACATGACATAACCTGGCTTACAGTACCTTAAAGGCATTCATTCCTGAGGGAGCCACCCGTAGCCGGGTGCAGTGAGTGTCCTTGTGGCTGGTCGGCCTGTCCATTCGGATGTGCTCAGCCCCGGTGACTCTCTGGGATGCCTGTCTACATAGACCAATGTCTCCCTCTAGTTCCTATGATACTCGCGGCTCTGCAATGGCCTCATTGGACCGAAAGGGCCTAAGCCAACAAAACAAACAAACTCCGTGCGGCGTACCCAGTGCGCGCGAAGTTGGCCCAGTAGGTGGTGAGCACCTCCGACATCAGATTGTCCGAGGCCGAGTGCTGGCCAAACGAGATCGGAGACCGGAACAGGTAGAGCAGGTCGTCACCGTGGCTCACACCTGCGGCCAGTGGCACAGTCACGACATCAGGACGCCGGGCGGCAATGACACCGTGGTAAACAAACACTAAACAGCACATCTGCCGGGAAGCACTGACGTGCTGCCTGATAGGGAACATATACAAATAAACCTACATGAGGATCTGTATTCCTCCTCATTGCCCCACGTTTCAGCATGGCATCGACATCCAAATGATTCGCGATAGCTACACCACCTCTGCGCCTGTATGCACATTGCACACATCGCTGACACATTCTCTGCTCTCTGCTCTCTGGAGCTGCTGTGAGCCAGTCGCCCCCCCCCCCCCCCACCCTACCTGAGTCGAGAAGCGCCGAGTCGAGCCCGCGGCTGCGCAGCCGCTGCGCCAGTGGCCGCACGCGGCTCGGCCCGCCCGGGACGCGGTGCGCCATCAGGTAGCTGTAGACGGGACCGGCGGCCGCGTGCAGACGCACCGTCAGGTCGTGGCAGGTCGTGTACCAGGCGTCCGTCAGTAGCTGTATAGAGGTCGGCCGGAGCAGTCGGCAGCACAGAGAACGGGTCAGTGTCGGTATTGGTCACACTCGTCGGAAAGACTGCAAGTGACCCAGATAACCACATAGCCCGCACGAGTTAAAAAGCGATCAGTAAGTCTATTGGTGAAATTGATAACTATCTTCCAGATTTCTACATTCCTGGTCTCTGTAAGGTCTCTCGTACCTCAGTGAGCCTGGGGATGACCTCTGCTGGCCGGCTGTAGTCGAGGTCGGTCAGGTAGAGTCGTTTGACGGCCGTCACCAGCGCCGACTGGTGGCTGAAGTTGTAACTAAACAGCTGCTCCAGTGTCCAGTCGATCACGCTGTGCTCCATGTAGTAGCCGTCGGTCGGTCGCTCCGCCTCCAAATACTGGTCTGTGGACAGTAGTTAGATGGATATTGGATCACGCACCATCGACAAAAACAGTCAGGTAGAACAATAATAAGCGCGTACTAAGTGTTCCATCAAAAATGAACAATCATTCGTACGTTTTGTGATACAATTTAGATAAGCTACTGGTATAAGGTGGTATAGGAGGAAGACCCCGTGGTATACGCACAGAGGACGGTCTGTAGGGCCTCGTCCCGCACCAGGCCGGCCAGCAGCGGCAGCTGGGTGAAGTCGCGCGCCTCCAGCAGCGAGCGGGGCTCAGCGGGCAGCACCGGCGCCGACCGGAGCGCGGCGTCCACCACCGGCCGCATGTGGCCGGCAAAACTGACAAACCTCTGCAACCGACAAACACACACCGGCGAAACTGATACAACTCTGCAGCCGACAAACACACACCGGCGAAACTGACAAACCTCTGCAACCGACAAACACACACCGGCGAAACTGACACACCTCTGCAACCGACAAACACACACCGGCGAAACTGACACACCTCTGCAACCGACAAACACACACCGGCGAAACTGACACACCTCTGCAACCGACAAACACACACCGGCGAAACTGACAAACCTCTGCAACCGACAAACACACACCGGCGAAACTGACAAACCTCTGCAACCGACAAACACACACCGCGGCGAAACTGACAAACCTCTGCAACCGACAAACACACACCGGCGAAACTGACAAACCTCTGCAACCGACAAACACACACCGGCGAAACTGACAAACCTCTGCAACCGACAAACACACACCGGCGAAACTGACAAACCTCTGCAACCGACAAACACACACCGGCGAAACTGACAAACCTCTGCAACCGACAAACACACACCGGCGAAACTGACAAACCTCTGCAACCGACAAACACACACCGGCGAAACTGACAAACCTCTGCAACCGACAAACACACACCGGCGAAACTGACAAACCTCTGCAACCGACAAACACACACCGGCGAAACTGATACAACTCTGCAGCCGACAAACACACACCGGCGAAACTGACAAACCTCTGCAACCGACAAACACACACCGGCGAAACTGACAAACCTCTGCAACCGACAAACACACACCGGCGAAACTGACACACCTCTGCAACCGACAAACACACACCGCGGCGAAACTGACACACCTCTGCAACCGACAAACACAAACCTAATGCAGCTAACATGTGTCAAACGCACAGACAGGCGCGACTCGGGCAAACTGACAAATCTCTGCAACCGACAAACACAGACCGGCGAAACTGACAAACACAGACCCAATGCAGCTAACTGACAAACCATATGTCAAACGCACAAAAGGCACGACTGGAGGATAATGGCTAAACCGGTCACAGGTCTTATACCTCTGCTGCGCAAAAACAGGCGTTATTAGGGCGTAAAGTAACAAAACCACTTGCCGATAATAAGGCGTTGCACCAGCGGAACGGATGAATCACTTGCTTTTTCGTATCACCACACATAAAAAGTTGTGCTTCTTTCTAGGTAAAATTATTCACCAATCGAAGTTACGCATCAAGTCACCGACTACTGAATGAAAAGGGGACGTCATGCACTACAAATCAAGCGATACCAAAGCGTCAATGACGCAACAGGTAGCTTATTTAGTGAAGCAGCCTTGGGTAGCACTGATGACGGGTGACACGGAGGGCGCTCCCCAGAGCCCAGCCTACCTCACCATGGACCCCAACCATGGACCCTCACCAACCACCCTCCCCAAACCATGGACCCAGAGTCGAGGCTTCTCACCATGGACACTCCCCAAACCATGGACCCAGGGTCGAGCCTACCTCACCATGGACACTCCCCAAACCGTGGACCCAGGGCCGAGCCCCTCACCATGCGCCGGTGCGCTGCGCTGACCAGCTGCTGGGCGGACCGGGAGAGCAGACAGTCGCGGTCGCCCCGTCCGCAGTCCAGGTCGTCGGAGAGCAGGGCGGCGGCGTCGTACGGCTCTGGCTCGACGGACCATGGACAGAGGCTGCTGCCGCTCTGCAGGACGACGCGCTGGAACAGACCTGCCCACACACATACTGGCTGAAGAAATATGTATTCGGTTGTAAATAGATGAACACTTGTGAAAAGTGACAGGCTGGGTCTTCCTTTTCACTGTCATTATACGCTCTCTGGTTTTCGCGTAAGTATATAAAATTATAAACGGAGACACGTCCCACCATCTGTGCTCCTAATTACCTTTGGCGCGTGGTGAGAGCATCAGGATGTGCGCCATGGCGGCGCCGGCGCCGTGACCCACGAGGGTGACCCGTGACGGGTCGCCGGCAAAGTCTCGCGCCGCGTCCCGGACCCAGGAGAGCGCCTGGATGACATCTAGCAGGCCGTAGTTTCCGGCCAGCTCCGGGTAGCCGCTGCTCATGAACCCTACCGACGCCGACAGATACTGGTGGTCACCGGTGGTATAAACAGCGGTTCATACCTATATCGTGCCGTCGTCTAAGTCTCTCTGAGTGTTTGAGTTTACGATACAGTATACGATACAGAGCTGGTGTACCAGCAAGTATCGCTAAAAACGAGGTACTGATATTTCCAGTAATCTCAAGACTCTGGCCCCACAAATCCATGAGCCCAGCCCTCTCTGCCTCCTCTGTCCACCGGTAGCGGTCGGGCGGCACCGTGTCCCCACTCACCGAGCACGCCGAGCCGGTAGTTGAGCGTCACCAGCACGACGTCCTCCCTCATGAGTCGCTGGGGGCCCAGCAGACTGGCGGCGCCGCGCACAAAGTCTCCGCCGTGCACTACCACCAGCACCGGCAGCAGGCCGCCGCCGGGCGCGCCGCCACCGCCGCTGGCCGACAGCTGGCCTGCGACAGAGCGGACAGGACGGTACGGTCACAGGCGGTCACAGGTCAGATGTGGATATTAGCCATTCATGACAGTTAATAGTTTCTATTGCGAATGGCTGCGTCGATACTTGTTAAAAATTCCCCCGCTATGACGTTTAGAGTAGACCTTCAACGTGAACGCTACAAAACATGAGCTTTATAAAAGGTGCATGCTAAATGTCATATTTAATTGCAGCAAAGCAGGTTAAAGGCGTAGCCGTCGGCGCCACTTTCACAATATTTGTGCTCGATGTCATACTTTTCTAAACCGTTAATTTTACGTTAATTGCGGGAGAATAAAAAGGTCATATGTTTGCCGATAATTAGCCGCCGACAAGCGGAGGTATCTACCTGGTAGGAAGGGCGTGAAGACGTTGAGGTAGAGGCAGTCCTCCTGTCCCTCCACCGTGTCCGTGTTGACGTCATACTGCGGACAAAAGTCACGGAACGAGCGGGCGTCCAGCGTGCCCGACCAGCTCTCTGCCGGCCGCGGCTCCTGAGGGGCAGAAAAACGCGCATAGCGTCACACATCGGCGTCACTGGCAGACCGTCACATAACTCTGGAGTTACAGCCATGCCGTCACATAGCGGTAGAGTTACAGCCATACCGTCACATAGGGCGGTAAGGCATACCGTCAGACCGTGTAACATTACGATCATAGCGTCATACAGTAGCGTTATAAGCATACAGGAGCATCGCGACGCAAATATATGTTGTCAAATAGCAATGAAAGACGTTATGTACTATAGTAGGTCTATAGGATTGCCCAACACTAGCGTTACAATCTCTTGAAATACGGACCTCAAATCACTGATGTGCAAGCACACGTCACGTCAACATCACGGTACTTCTTACAAACTATGTTTCATTTCCAGTCTCCCATGAGTCCCAGTGTTTCCCTCCTACCACGGTCTAGGGTTCGTAGTTCGAATAATGCTTGCCGAACAGTAAGCGAGCGAGACCGCCATTCATTACCGGAGGCAGCAGTCCGGGTCGAATGGTTAGCGGCCCATTATAGGACTCCACGCTCCGTGGTTAGGCATTGTGCACGTGTAACCACCCGGCAGTCAGGGCGGTCGGCAGGGCGTGCAAAAACGGCCACTTCCCCGCGGATCCGTTCCACATAAAGGCGAGGATTCTTCCCGTTCACCTACCGGAAGGAAGTCACACACAGGCAGGCCCTGAGAATATAGGCCTTACTTTGCATACTCAGTCACATGAGTGAGCCTCCCACAGTGACCGCATTCCACCCGACGACAGACGTAATGAAGGCAACAGAGCGGACGGGCAGCGCTCGCTGATGGGAGTCGGGCAGCCTGTCGCGCATTCCATTACCGGAGTTCTGCCTGTGTCGGAGCCGATCTGAGCGGCGGTCCGGACTATCTGAGACCGTTACAGCTCGTGACGGCCGGAGGAGAGCGCCGTCCGGCCGCCCGGGTGGTATATACCGCGCGCGCCACGCACCGCCCACCGGTCACCCACGGGTCAGCGGGCCGGAGGGACGGACACCAACCGGGTCGGCCGGCACGACTCCTCAGCCGCCCGGCCCGGCGGCCGCCTGCCTCCAGAGCGCCCTAACCGCCCGGCGACCGCCTGCCTCAGAGCGCCCTAGCCGCCCGGTCAGGGGCCGCCTGCCTCCAGAGCGCCCTAACCGCCCGGCGACCGCCTGCCTCAGAGCGCCCTAGCCGCCCGGTCAGGGGCCGCCTGCCTCCAGAGCGCCCTAACCGCCCGGCGACCGCCTGCCTCAGAGCGCCCTAGCCGCCCGGTCAGGGGCCGCCTGCCTCCCGAGCGCCCTAACCGCCCGGCCAGGGGCCGCCTCCCGAGGAGCGCCCTAACCGCTCGGTCAGCGGCCGCCTCCCGAGGAGCGCCCTATAACCGCTCAGCCAGGGGCCGCCTACCGAGCGCCCTAACCGCTCGGTCCGGGGCCGCCTCCCGAGGAGCGCCCTCATCACCCCGCCGACCGGGGAGAGCACGGCGGGCGGCTCACATCCACCGGATTATCGCTACATTGGATCATATCACCACAGACATCAGATGAGATAACCACGCTAAGGGAAATCTAGTGAATTCATTTTCTGTGTTCATTCCAACGCCATGTGGAGATAGGAATGCCGACTAAAACGGCTGCTTCCTTTTTCTACAACGCTCGTGCTGCTTTCCCACAATTACATTACATGTACACTGTACAGCCCTCAGCAGACTGCTGGTAGGTATTCTTTTTTTTACAAAACCGATAAAAACTCAAAGGCTATGTTATCAGTCGGTCGGAACTCACTGTAAATACGTATAGATGCACAATGCTCCACTCCTTCGACTGCGTCCATCTCTAAACAAACTTTACACCTTGAATGGCAATAAAATGCAAAAGTTTGTTTTGGGCGCATATATAAACTTTTGGGTTTTGTCGCCAAACTGAATGGAAAATGAATACGATGATAATGCCAATCTAAGGTGCGGAGTCTCGTGCGTCTTGCTGTTACTATTTCCGAGTGACCGATGGCATAGGTAGTATTTGCGTTATTCCCGGTTTTATCGAAAAAAGAATGCCTACCTACCACGCAGTTTGCAGAGGGCTGTACGTTAGCTCGTTTTAAACGTACCCGGATGCTCACGATGCGACAAAATACGTCTCACGTCAAACTTTCTGCATTGCATTGTGGGGCATGTTTGGTCACGGAATGACGAGCAAGCCTCCTATAGACTATGTCAAGCGTGACGAGGTGCTCTAAATATGTCAAGGCGACAAAATGTGTCCAACTGTGACATTGCGTTTTTATCATTGAGGGTTAGGAGAAAATCATCGAGACTAAGTGTAGATAACTGGTTCAGCGTGACACAAGGTCACGATGTGGTTATTCCATTCGCAAGCTTATTTCAGCATTACGTAGCCCAGGTCGTCTGGTTTCTCTCTCGCTCTCTCTCTCTCTCTCTCTCTCTCTCTCTCTCTCTCTCTCTCTCTCTCTCTCTCTCTCTCTCTCTCTCTCTCTCTCTCTCTCTCTCTCTCTCTCTCTCTCTCTCGCGTGATCCTCTGATATCCGCGGTGACCCGGTGTGACCCGGAGATACCCAAAGTGTGGCCTGCAGAGTCCGGAGATACCCGCAGTGACTCTCCGTCAGTGGCCGGCCGGCTGTTCCGGCGCCGTTTGTGACTCGGTGATACCCACAGTGTGACCCGTTGTGACCCGGAGATACCCAGTGCGACCCGGAGCTACCCGCAGTGACTCCGTCAGAGGGCCGGCCGGCTGTTCCGGCGCCGTTTGTGACCCGGTTCCGACGAGGCCTTGGCGTCGGTATGTGGGCTGAGGCCCGCTCCCTGCCCGCTGCCACCGCTGCTGGTAGTGGTAATGTCGGTGGGTCGGGTAGGGTGCACAATCCACATTATCAGCTGACCTGGATGGGGCTAAGGCGGGTGGCGGTTCGCCAACATTGCAGGAGAAGGGCAGGGCCAGACCGTGTCGGGCCTCTGTCCACTGCATACATTAAATGTACCTAATAACATGCCTCGTACCTAGTAAAAGAAATGAGAAGAGGTTTCGTGCGGACACTTCGGCACTGTTTGTGAACAGCCCATTGCAGCCTAAACACGCATTCATTTACACATGTAGGTAATGATCGATTATTGTTGTTGGCAACCAGCCACGTAATGCTGCGAGAGCTGTAAGTACACACAGGAGTTCCCATACATCAAGGCGTAATAATCGTGTGACCCGGGCTGCTATTTGAAGTCCCGGCAAACAGCGCTGGATGGATGTGAGCTCTATACTGGAGATAAGGAAATTCACACGCGGCGTTCTGACGCTGAAATCGGACGCATCCAGGAAAACCACACACGCCGCAAAGCAGCCCGGTAAAAGGAAGATGTCACGACAGCATCAATCTTCCCGGAGCAGTGCAAACATCAGGCACTGCAATTCGCAGTGCCTGATCTGTGCATTGCAGTGCCTTTTGATCCTTTTGAACCGGTCACCGAATATGGACGCGTGGAATAATGAAATGAACGTTTACGATGGATGTCGGCATAATGTCAAGTCAACTCTTACAATCATGGAGTTGACGCAAAGCACAGGAAGGAAGCCCATTATAAAACAGCTTTTCTGTACTAATCACGCTAAGCATGTAACAACAAATTATTATTTTCAAGGGATGCTGTCATTCATTGGACGTCCTAAACACGAGCAAGGCATGAAACGGTTGACTCCAGCAAACTTTGTTTGTCTCTTACGACGAAAACTATCCATTGCATAGGTAATAGGTATTCAGAACGCTGCCTACGATCAATATATATGTTACAGACCGTATGAAAACCCAGTCCGTTTGCAAACGGCCCGGCCCATTCAGGCCGTTTGAAAACGGCCTGAAAAAGCCGGCCGTTTGCAAACCGCCTGAAATATCAGGCCGTATGAAAACGGCCTAGGCAGTTTGAAACGGCCTAGACAGTTTGAAAACGGCCTAGTCAGTTTTCAAACGGTCTGGTGAAGTACAACAGCCTCTGAAGATTGACCAGCCTGAAGATCCAGGCTGGTCTATGATCAGGTTGCATCCATGTGAATGCTTGCGCATTCCATGCCGAATGACTCGTCTACATACGTCGAACATTTTCTTACTGTGTTGATGCTCGGCCCGGCCGTTTTTCGACAATATTACTAATGATACAAGTTCACGGTCCGCCTGTGTACGGCCATCCAGTTGATGGAGCCTGGTGAAGCCACTACTGGTGTGGTGAGGTCTGGTGAAACGTATCACTACAAGACTCACCGATTATTTTGCGGCATAAAACGCCGGAGCGCGCAATAGACATCAGAGTTCACATCAGTGGCGCGGGAACCTGGGGGGGGGGGAGGGGGCTAGCGGGACTGAGCCCCTCCAACTTTTCGGCAAGGGGGGGTTCGTAATGTAGTTGAGCCTACGATCCCCCAGCTGGAGGAATCGAAATCGGAAATTTGCCAACATAATTTCATAGATTCATATAGGCGCGGGAACCGGGCCGGAGGGGGCAGTGGGGAAGCTTGCTCCCACAGCTCTGGGGCCGTGGGGGCGGTGCCCCACAACTTTTCATGAGGTCAGGAACCGTTGGGGCAGCTTGTCCTCTCCAAATTAGGGGTTGTGGGTCACTAAGGAAGAAAGCATGTACCAGTGAAAAATCCACCTCTTCCACTGGCTCAGCAACTCATTTGGCAGATTAAAACCTTTATTCCAGGCTGCCAAAACGGTAGTTTCTTCACTCAGCTGAGACGGAATACCTGACTTTTTGCAAATATTTTCGTTTTTTTTTTGTTGAAAAGGCCAAGGTCTGAAAAATAAGTGGCCTAAAACCGGTGAGAAAACTAGATTTGAGGGGTACCCTAGGTTGATCTCTATTATGGTTCAGCCCCCCCCCCCCCCAGTCTGGAAGAAGTTCCCGCGCCACTGGTTCACATTAGCCCTCGCCCGCACATGCCATTTTCCCATCCTAGAACGCACATGGGGGGGGGGTGGTTGCCACCCCCCCCCCCCCCCGCGCCATTTCGTTCCTGTTGGAGATAGAGCTTAGCAGTAAAGACCAAAAAGATTCTTTAGGAAGAGACGAATCCAATGATACCCAGTTTTACCTTCTCAGGTCAGTCATTGACCTTCCAGGTCAGGTCAAACTAAAAAATGTTGCTGTTTTGGGTCACCGTTGGATATCAAGTGCGCTGCTTAGCAAATACCGATGACGATGCTGTTTTCTGGTGCCAAGCCAGCTAGAACCTCTTTGTCACACTATCTTTTTTATTTTATTTTTTTATTTATTCCTCGTCCTCCACACGGGATATGTTTTCCCATTTATGGGAGGGCTCCTGCTCCTCCTCAGGGCTACGGTGCAAGGCGGGAGCCCACCCCACCCCCCAGTGACACAGTTGGGGACGCCAGTCCGGAAGCCGGGCGGCACCGGGGATCGAACCCGGGTCCTCCCGACCACAGAACCGACGCCATACCAACTGCGCCACTGGAGCCGCAGAATTTCCGACCAGAATTTTGCTGCTGAGGTCATTTCAGGTCAAGTTAGGTCAAGGTCAATTATATGTGTTTGTATGTCTGTGTGTGTCTGTGTGTATACTGATGTGTGCACCGATTGTTTTTGGGTCCATATCACATGAAATCATGATCTGAGAAGCTTTTACCAAAAATGCAGTCAAAAAAACTTCACAAAAAGTAAATTCAGCTTGCCTAAAACGCAATTATCTTAGATGACCTAGGTTGACCTTGACCCTGACCTTGACCCCTGTACATCGTCGAACAACATGTTCCATGATAGGTGGGAGGTAAGACTGGCAAAAAAGGCCGAAATCAGGGTGTCAAAAGCTCACAAGGCCCATGGCAAACGCAAGATGTTGAGAATTGGCCATTTGGGTCATGACATGACCTGAAAAACAAGGTCATATCTCCGAAACCAAAAATCACAGAAACTTGAAATTTTCAGTGGACATCAAGAAAGGATAGACGAGCAGCTATACGAAAAATCAGCCTTCTAGCTCTAAAAATGTTGAGTGCAGAGCAGAAAGACTGCCTGGGGGGGGCAACCACCCCCCCCCCCATGTGCGGGCGAGGTTTAGAGTCCTCACCGCGCCCGGTCGACCGCCGGCGGCTGGCCGGTGGCGTACGCCGGCAATACTTGACCATTGCGGTGGAAGGCGAAACTTTGAAGTCGGGGGAAGCCCATGGGTCGACCGGGCGCTATACGGGCCGGGTCTCAGTTCTGCTAATCTCTTCCTGACCAGGCCTGCATTCGTCATCGGGATGCAGGGAGAATTTTCCGGAACTAGCGAGAATCATCGGGGATCACGAACGGTATCGCGATAACGAGACATGCTGAAGATAGGCGCTCAACAATAATTTTCCGACGGAGAATATCCCAGTGACAATATTTTTCCGGATGCCGAATGCACCTCAGGATTTCATGGTGCCAATGTCATGAAACGGTCGTGCTTCAACAAACTCAACATTGTCCAGCTGTAACTTTATGCAGACCAGATTGTTTTCAAAATGCCTATAGACCGTTTGCAAACGGCCTGGTGTCTGGAAAGTTGTCATACGGCCTAGACGGTTTGCAAACGGCCTGAAATTTCAGGCGGTTTGCATACAGCCTGGAATTTCAGCCCGTATTCAAACGGTCTGACTTTTCAGTCCGTTTGCATACTGACTGGGCTATCCAGGCCGTTTGCAAACGGCCTGAATTGGGCCAGCCGTTTGCAAACGGACTGAGTTTTCATACGGCCTGTAACATATATTTATTGAATATATTTGCAACCAATATAACCGAATTGTTCGCTTATCGGTGCCAGTGAACAACCAATTATCGGAAGCAGATCATTTTGCCACTCATCATTTGGCGGATCATTTATATATTTTATTGTTCAAAATATAATTATTGAACCTCCGCGACGTCAACTAGCAGCCGCATAAAACCGATGGTTCATTCGGAATGGAATCAAAAAGCGGGAACAAGAACAGATCAGTCAGCGATGTCAATTGCGATCCCCCTGGCCAAGCTCGCTGCTGAGAAGACGGCCCCGCGGCCCACGGGGAGATGACGCCGCATCGGGTGGGCCCACTCGCCCGTCATGACATTCCACGAGGAAAACGGCCCCTATACTGCGCCTCAGCGAGCCAAGGTGAAGGTGCCGTGGGTGGGGGCATACCATGCTGACTAGGTATAATGGACTATGGCGCAGCGCTTTCGAGTAAGATAATCACGACCAGCACCGTTGCATAACTACCTTTCTACATTGGGAAAGGACATTGGCTAAATATGAAAAGGCGGGCGCAGCACATCTCTATGCATGTTCACCGTCAATTAGGCACAGATAGTTTTGAGCGTCTCTCTTAACATTAAATAGAAAAACAAGCAGGTCCCTCTGAACATCCATTGCCCCGTACATTTCCCATCCCGGCGCACTCACCGCCCAGCGCAGGTCGCCGATCGGAGGCCGGGCGTAGGGGATCCCTCGGAAGGCGTAGTAGTAGCGGCTGCCGCCGCCGCTGTCGAACGTCTCGGCATACTCGAGCCTGCCCTGGAGGCGGCCCAGTCGGGTGCCGATCACTATCTCCCTGCGGGCCACCTGCTGCGCGCCGAGTCTTCCCGCAGCCAGCAGCAGCAGCAGCGGCAGCAGCGCCGGCGGCACCGCCCGCCCCCGGCTCATGTCTGCCGGCGCCGGCCGCCGCCGCCGCGCGCACACCCCCGCCGCATCAGCCCGATTATTCGGCGCGGCGCCCGGCCTGGAAACCGGAGCGCCGGCGGAGGCGGGCGGCGCGGGCCCGCTCCGGCGGCCGCTGCGTATTTAGTATCCGGCGGCGGGCCCAGCAGCCGTCACGCCGTCGAGACCGTCAGGTGACACGACACGCGAGGGCCGGCTCGGATATACCGGGCGATAAGCGCCGCCCGTCTCCAGGGAGGTCTTCCGGGTTCAGCGCACAGCACTTCCGAGCCCTCCGCGCCACAGCACACACACACACGCGCGCGCGCACGCACAGTGCGCACACACTGCCGCCACGTCAACGCACTTGAAGCACGCTACAAGTCACACAACACACCCCAAACGCACTGAAGCACCAAACACGTCGAAATCTCCAGACACACGAGCTGCGCCACGAGGTGCGCACGTGCGGTGTGACACGGTGCTCCGCCCGCCGCTGCGATGCGTCCCGGTCCGGCCGCTCGGTGCCGCCGCTCGGCCACGTCTGCGGACACTCTGCCGACCACACTGGGTCACAGCCGTTCCCGTTTCCGTCCCGGGATGGGCGAGAGTGGAGCGCGGCCCGCAGAGGCCACTGCTGGGTGCACGCGCGGCCACTTTCCACGGCGCCGACGGGCGAATACCGCTGGCGATCCGGAACTGCAGGAAACGGCGCAACAGCATGCAATGAACGTCGTATCGACTATAAAACAACATTTGTGGCCTAATCTTCTCCCGCGCAAGGTCGTTAACTCTTGATATCCAGACGCTTCTGTGGTGTTCCACGTTCCTTCAAAAATATACATCTACAATGCATATATCAACATGTAACATTTTCTATGCGTAGGGCTACGATCAGTTACAGTTTGGTTCCGACTTTGATAACTGTTTTCGAACTTATTAGCTCACCTGAGCTGGGTATCGGCTCCGGGTCACTAGCTGTTTAGGGACGCCAAATGTTGACAGTCGAAATAGCACTCCTCACTGGCTCCGACTTGACGGCAACTACGCAGGAGTCGGCAGTGGCCGGCTGCGCTCTGCCACCGGGGTCGGTCTCTGCCCCGCCCCCCACCCTGCCGAGTCGGAACGGCCGGCCGGCCGTAACGGTGTCGGAAGCGAGGCTGTGTCTGTCAACGAACAACAGCCGGGGACGGCTGTCCGTGTCCGGTGCCGATCGGAGATAAGGCCGCACTGACGGACGCGCTCACATACCTGACAATGCACGTCGCTACCGTGGAGAGAAACGGCCCAGAGCCGCTACTGTGGAGAGGAGTGGCTCCAGAGCCGCTACTGTGCAGACGAACGGTCCATGGTGATCCATGGTGGTTGCTCCAGAGCCACCACCATGGATATGAAAAGCCGCTCCAGAGTCGCTACTGTGCAGACGAACGGTTGCTCCAGACTCCAGAGCCACCACCATGGAAAGAAACGCTACTGTGGAGGGGAATGGCTCCAGAGCCGATATTTTGGCGAAAAAAGGCTCCAGGAAACGGAGCCCTTTCTAGGTCGATCAATAGATCTACAGCGGTAAATTCCGAAACTCATTGCAGTTGATGGGCTGATGGGCTGAAGCGTTCGGGTACACAATGTCGGGTGTACAGTGTACACGGCTGGATGATACAAACAGCAGTCTGACGAATGCCTTCGCGAGGGAGACCCGGCAAAACACGTGGTGTCTAATATGAGATGAATAGCATAAAATGAAATGTAAAAACATCGCGAAATGGATATTATCTCAAGCGTAATAGTCTCATTTTGCATTTTGGCGACACCATATCAGGCGTCATTTTTTTCAGAATTACAACCCTTTCCCTCCGAGTCGTATAAATCTAGACATTGGGAGGGAAGTGTGCGTCCCACACGACCCAACAGCGGGGTGCACGCCACACGCGCAATAGGTATAATAATTAATATAGGTACTGTTTTACGTGGCTTCTAAATGTTTCCATGTTGGGCATTATTCCGCCCCTGAAAGCATGCTTACCGTACCTTGGCCTGCTCGTAATCTCATTACTGCGCTTTTTAGGAACGACTTTAGAAGTAGGACTACTGCATACCTATAACTGTTCTGCCGACTACACAGAGCGATAATAGAACAGTGTAGTGTTTGATAATGCATCTCTTCAGCTTTTGAAGCGTCTTTTCAACCGACAAATCAAAATGTTGGGGAAATGCGACCTAACAGTTTAATGTCTATATTCCGAAACGTGTTACGTATTTGCCGTTAGGCATGGATACAGATTCGCTTGATAGGCCCCATCCGTTGATGATGGGTCGATATATTTAATAAATAAAAATAAAAAACTATCCCCTAGGCCCCAGACAAATAAGAATGGAAAATGGGACGCCTATATAGCACTGCTTCAGTGTCTCCACCTGAAAATAAAGTAACTTCTCATGACACAAAGCAGCATCTAACAACGCCGACGATAGGATGGGTACTAAAAATGATGGGGAACAAAAAAGTACTTATTAACCCTCGCACGACCAGGCCATTTCTCATAACACGAACGACCAGGGGGGGGGGGGGGGTTGTTACGACCCCCCCCTGGCGTTTCGAAACGGAAGGTCGTAGAGCTTAGCGGAAAAAACCAACGGATTGCTCTCAACGAGATCTCGCGATTGGTGGTATATTTTTTGGTCTTAGGTCAACATTTGACCTACTTATGACCGGTCAAAGGTCAAATTTTCCGAAAAATCAAACTTTTTCAACTTTCCGCGGCGATTGCGGCAAAACGGTGGGAGATATCGACTTGAAACCTTCACTATCGTGTTCCTTGATCAATTCTCTATCGTTTGGTATGTATTTCGTTTCCCTAGCTCTAAAAATGGCGCGTTGGGAGCGCCGGAAGTCGGCAAGGTCACAGTCGGCGGCAGAAATTCGAAAAATCAAAATTTAAATTTTTAAAATCAGATTGTATTTTTGGATTTGGGAGGTCCATTTGCTCCCTATAGAAGCTAATATTGCTGCATATTCCCATTGAGGTGACAAGAATTAGCAAAATAGTGGTTCGGGCGCTTTTCAAAAATAGTACCGGACGCTGTTCCTCTTGTGACGTCATAGCTCCGTGACCTGACCTGACCCGGTCAATTTTCTTGCACCACACGATAGCCAATGCTTGCCCCAACATGCATGGGAAGTTTCATCATGATCCATCAAACAATGTGGGTATCACCAGCAGAAAACCTAGGAATTCGGCGCACACGTTTGGTAACTGTCGGCCGGAGGCTGTACCTCTTATGACGTCATAACTCCGTGACCTGACATGACCCGATCAATTTTTTTCGGCAAAAGATGCGCAAAGGTTGCCCCAGAGGGTATTGAAAATTTCAGCCCGCTACGACAAGCCGTTTAGCGTGCACTTTGAAAAAACCTCAGGGGGGGTTGATGCAACCCCCCCCCCCTAGGCGTTCTAGGGTTAATACAATTTATGAAGGAAGAACAAAACACTGTTGCATGAGAATATGTCCTGTCCCTCAAACCACAATTTCCGGCATTCAAACGGTGACTTGAACGAGGGATTGACCCAGTTATTTACACCCAGCCCAATGTTCACCTCTGACTGAACGAGAGGTCAGCCGTAAAGGTCAGGGGGCACCCAGAGGTCGGCCGGGCTGGCGCTGGCGGCGCGGTGTGCGATCTGAAACGGCGCCGCGGGGCATTGTTGGTCGGCGGACAATGGCGCGGCGCGGCGTGCGGCGGCGCACCGCTCGGCCGCCCCAGTTGCGCGCACGGCGCTCAGTTCTGAGGCGTTATGTTTAGTGTTCGTGGCCGGTCATCTCTGCCGTTTCGGATGGAACCACCCAGCGACTCAGACTAAGAGTCGCCGCGGTCGGCCACGTGCCTTTCCATAATAGAGGAGGCCGATTTTCACTGGACGTACTTCTCTGATCCGTGTTACACAATGCGATACGAATTAATTCATGGGTTACAGAGTGAGCGTAGGTATGAAACATTTAGGTAGAAATGTGGATTTTTATAAATAAAATCATTAAAGTAGAATTATTCCGGCTAGACCGGTGGGAGGGGGGGGGGGGGTAATACAAAACACCGGAGCCCGGGGAGCGTTGCCCCCCCCCCCTCCCCCCCGTCAACATGAAGAAGCTACGGAAACAAAAGCAGCATCAAACGAACGGTCTGAATGGGACGATTCTAAAGGATTGAAAAATTGAGCTCAGGTCAATTTACAAGGTCAGTTGAGAAGAAGCCAGGGATAATAACTACATCGGACAAACGGCATTTCACATGCTATAGTCTGTTTTTTTAGCAGCTGCCGGTCGTTTAAAGCGCCTGTCTGATAAGTGCGCGAGGAGCGAAAGCAAAAATGCTATGGAAATCCTGCAAATCCTGAAACTTTGCACATCCGTAACTTTTCTTCGACATGAACTAAAAAGAAGGAAAAGATGTCTTTTTCGAAGCTAAAATGTTCCCCAATCGATCGCCAGACCAAGGAGGTGATTTTCAATGTTTTTGAATTTTGTTCAAAAGAGAAAAGTAACATGGCCTTAACAGGAGAACCATGCGGTTCATATTGTTTGGTTCACCCAAATAAAGTGTATGAGAGAGTGAATCTGATGACTGGTGTTTCCGAGCGGACAGTTCGCAACATCATGAAAGAAAAGGAAGTCGGCGAGTTCAAGTCTCCTATGAAGTCAGCCCCACGGACGGGAGTCGTTCAGAAAATCGACGATTTCGACGTGTGTGCCATAAAACGAGCCATACACAGCATGTACGAAAGGGGTGAGCGAGTTACCCTGAACTCGATCCTGATGAAGGTGACAAGTGAGCTGGACTTAACCTTCAGTCGCAGCTCCCTGCGCAAGATCCTCCTCCAGAACGGCTTCCGTTACAGGAAGGTAAACAACAGGAAGCTGCTGATGGAGCGCCCGTACGTGCGGGCTGCAAGAGCCCGCTACCTCAGAGAAATGCGCAGGATCCGCAATACTGAGCCCGACCGAGCAGTCATCTATCTCGATGAAACGTGGTTCAGTCAGTTTGATTTTGATCAAAAAGGCTGGCTGGATGATCGCGAGTTTTGTGGCAGAAGAAGTGTTGTTGGCAAAGGCAAGCGTCTGATCATTGTCCATGCTGGATCCAGAGATGGATTTGTCGGTGATGCCTTGCTTACCACCTGGACCGACGGCAAGAGCACCGACTACCACGACTCGATGAATGCGCAACATTTCGAGGAATGGTTCTCCAGCCTACTCCAGAACATCCCGGCTAACAGCGTTATCGTCATGGACAACGCCAGCTACCACAGCCGGATTAAAAACAAGACCCCGACGACCAGTAACAAGAAAGGGGAGATCCAGGCATGGCTGGAAGAAAATGGCATTTCATATGCCGACGACATGCTCAAAGTGGAGCTTCTGGAGCTGGTTCACAAGCACGCTCCCCCAAAAACGTACTATGTGGATGAACTGGCAAAAGAAAAAGGACACACAGTGGTC